ATCTATCTATCTATCTATCTATCTATCTATCTATCTATCTATCTATCTATCTATCTTTGTTTTCTTAAGTTTTCGTGGGTACTTTCATGTATGGTATTCAGCTTTGTTCAGGTATTTTCCCACATCATTATAGTTGTGCTTTTAAAGTTGTAGCAACGTTTCGGCAGAATCTCATCTGCCATCATCAGGCTTCTGTATAGTGTTCATCTGGCATTATTTTTGTATTATTTTTATATGTGATTTAGCAATGTAAGACAAATGTGTGGGTTAGGAAGATTGTGTAATGTTCAATGTTTTTAATGTATTTTTTTGGTTTGTGTTTGTGTTTGTTCAATAAAATTAAAATTTAAAATATAAAAAGAAAGAAAGAAGGTTTTATTTGTTGTTTTGTGTTTGTGTTTGTTTGTGTTTGTTGTTAAAAATAAAAAAAACTTTAAAAAAAAGAAAATTAACAACCGGTTCTCGTGAACCGGTGTGAACCGGTTGAATCCCACCACTGGGATCGCCGCTTCTCAGCTGTGTTACTCCCCAATAGTAACATAGCAGGTACGTTTTTTCCCCGGAAAGCTGTTCACACACGCGAAGCGCACAATCACCAAACCGGTTCTTACACCGGCAGCATCCTACTACTGGTCATTCCTCTCCCATTTCCCCCCCCCTCCTGCCCTAGCTGCGCTGTTTTCTGCTTTCACTACAGTTTCTCTGTTAATTTTGTGCCTCTTTCCAGAAGGAATTAATTGCCTCAGCCGAGCAGAAAGACAACACCAACCTTTTGCGGGGAGATAAACACCAAAGCTGCAACGGAACGATAATGGAAGCACCTTTGGTCTGGCTTCTCCAAATCATTTCAGCCGGAGCGCCTGCGACCTTGCTACGGGGAAAGGAAACGCCGGGAGAAGAAATAATCATTTTCAAAGGAGGAAAAATTGGAATTATACAGGTGCAAATAGACCTCCACTCACAGCAGTTCGCTTAGGGAGAGGTTCAAAGTTACTATTGCACTGGAAAACAAAGGGACTTGTGACCGATTTTCACACTTATGACCATTGCAGCATTCCCCATGGTCACGTGATGGTTGACAACTGGTTCATCTTTATGATGGTTGCAGTGTCCCCCGGGTTCATAGGATCCCCTTTTGCGACCTTCTGATGAGGGAAGTCAATGGCAAAGGCCAGATTCACATAACAACCAAGTTACTAATTTAACACCTGCAGTGATTCACTTAACAAATGTGGTAAGAACTGTCGTAAGATGAGGCAAAAATCAATTAATAAATGTTCCTTCCTTCCTTCTTCCCTCCCTCCCTCCTTCCCTTCCTCTCTCTCTCCCTTCCTTCCTTTCTCCCTCCTTCCCTTCCTCCCTCCCTCCTTCCTTCCTTTCTCCATCCTTCCCTTCCTTCTTTTCTCCCTCCTACCCTTCCCTCCTTTCTCACTTCTTCCCTTCCCTTCCTCCTTCCCTTCCTTCCTTCCCTTCCTTCCTTCCTCATTCCCTCCTTCCTTCCCTTCCTTCCTTTCTCCCTCCTTCCCTTCCTTCCTTTCCCCTTCCCTTCCTTCCTTCCTCTCCCTCCCTCCCTCCTTCCGCCCTCATTCCTTCCTTCCCTTTCTTCCTTCCTTTCCTCATTCCCTCCCTCCCTTCCTCTCCCTCCCTCCTTCTTCCCTCCTTCCCTTCCTTCCTTTTCTCCCTTCCTCCCCTTGTTCTCTCCCTTCCTTTCTCCCTCTTTCCCCCCTCCCTTCCCTCCTTCTCCTTGTTCATTCCCTCCTTCCCTTCCTTTCTTCCCTTGTTCATTCCCTCCCTCCCTCCCTCCCCCTTGATCATTTCTTCCCCTCCCCTCCCTCTGTCTCTCCTTTGCCTGATGGGCCATTAATGGTTGCGCTGAGCTCCAGAGCCAAGAACTGCAGAGACTGCATTGCACCAGGCCTGGGTGGGATGCGAGGAAGAGGGGAGGGAGGTGATGGACAGCCACTGCCGGCCAAGACTACGAGGATTCTCACGGTGCAGCGGGGTGGGGGGTGGGGGCACAGGAGGCTCCCCTCCCACCCATCGCTCCTGGTTCCCTGCATTAAACAAATGTTCTCAGTTAAAACAAGAATTCAGGGCATTTTCAAGGAAAGCGGCATGTTATTCCCTCCTAGGAAGTCATTGAAACCAGCTCTATGATCCCCATCAAGCCTGGTTGTGACTGATCTGGGTTAAAGGCATGTGTGAACGCTCCCAAGGTGAGGATAACTCCAGAAAGTTTGCTACTGGGGTTATGTTCTTCTGATGGTTCCAGGAAGACCGTGTTAGTTCGTGACTTACAACCCTTCCTTAAGTTTAAGGGACTGTTTGAAGGTACAACCACACGGGGAAAAAAAGGTTAAAATGAGGCAAAACCTACTTAGCCACTGTCTCATTTAGCAGCAGAAATTAACTAAAGTCAAGGACTACCTATGTGATTCAAGGATTAATTGAAGTCCGTCCATTTTAAACTAGGTTGGCTGGGGAATTCTGGGAGTTGAGGTCCGTCCATCTTAAAGCATCCTGGCTGGGGAATTCTGGACATTAAAGTCCACTCACATTAAAGCATCTTGGCTGGGGAATTCTGGGAGTTGAAGTCCATCTATCTTAAACCCTCCTGGCTGAAGAATTCTGGGAGTTGACGTCCATCTTTCTTAAAGCAGATGAGGTGGAGAAAACCTGCATCAGCGCATCTCTTCCCCAGCCCTTTCAGTTGAACATTACAGAAGAAATAATTGGAATAAAAATTCCACACACCAGTCATTCCAGCTGAATCTTATCCCTCCGCACCCTCCTGAATAATGATCCAATTAACAATGGACACACGGCATTATTTTCCAACTAAGGAATTGACATGCTGAACCCAAATAGAGAGAGTAACTTGTATCTCTGCCAATCTTCCTCTCTAATCGCTAGCTGGGTTTTTTTTTATGTCACGGCCTTATTGAGTTCTCTGATTTGAAAATAAAAAAAAACTTTTTCTCTGTTTTGTTTCCACTTATTCTTTCAAATTTCAAGAGTAGAGGTTTTCGCTACTAGTTTTTTTTTTTTTTTTTGCTGAACTCTGTCTGTGGCCGGTTACATTTCCCCTTTCACAAGACCCGAGTCAATAGGAATAGATTGTAAAGGTTTCCATCTGGGAGTCTCAAAAAATGGCCATTTTCTCAGGATTTCTATATGGGATTTGGCTTTTTTCCTGCTTTTTTTCCAACAGATTCTGAGATTTTGTTCAGCACAGGTAGTCCTCGAATTACAACAATTCATTTAGTGACCGTCCGAAGTTACAATGGCAGTGAAAAAAATGACTTATGACTTTCATGCCAAAGGCGGGACTAGAACTCCCAGCCTCCTGGTGATTGGCCCAAAGTCATCCAATAGACTTTTTCATGCCAAAAGCAGGACTAGAACTCACAGTCTCCTGGTGACCGGCCTAAAGTCACCCAGTCAGCTTTCATGCCAAAGGCAGGACTAGAACTCACCATCACCTAGTGATTGGCCCAAAGTCACCCAGCAGGCTTACATGCCTATGGCGGGACTAGAACTCCCCATCTCCTGGTTTCTAGACCAGCACCTTAACCACTACACCAAATTGGCTCTAAGAATGACATTAAGGTGCTGGGGGTTGTTTAGCCCCAACTAAACATATTCAGGGGATATGTTAGCCGTCATCAGATACCGGAACACAAAAATGTTCAAGCAAAAGTTGGAACGGTCAGAGAAGCTTTTGAGCAGGAGGTAGACCGGATGATCTCAAGAGTCCCATCCAGTTCTCAGATTCTTGGACTCTCTTCCTTAAATGGCTATGAGGCAGACTTTGACTTCACTCTTTCCCCATCTGTCCAGCAGCTTGTAACAGCTCCCAGTCTAGAAACTGAAACGCTGAGTAGCTAGGCTTATTGTTATGATCAAAGGAGGAAGGTGACCGAATCATAGCAACCAACTACCAATGAATCAGAGTAGAGAATCAGAATCGAGTTGGAAGGGACCTTGAAGGTCTTCTAGACCATCCCCTTGCTCAAGCAGGAGATCCTATACCCGTGATGGCGAACCTATGGCATGCGTGCCACAGGTGGCATGCAGAGCCATTTGTGCCGGCACGGGAGCCCCAGGCAAACTTACCTCACTGCGGATGTGCGCACCTCACAACTCATTTTTTCAGCTGGTTTGAGGCCTTTTTTGGCCTCCCAGAGGCTAAGAAAAAGCGTCTACAAGACTTTTCAGGATGAATTATAGGCCCATTTCCTCACTTCTGGTGTTACAGGAAGTGATGAAACGGGCCTATTATTCATCCTGAAAAGCCTTGCAGAGGCTTTTTCCAAGCTTCTGGGGGGCTGAAAAAGGCCTCAAACCAGCTGAAAAATCAGCTGTGTGGTGCAGTGCAGGTAAGGGGGTGGCGGAGGGGGCGGATTGCGTGCGCATGCGCAAGGGACGTGAGGGCACGCATTGCATTCTGGGTGCTGGCATGTGAGTGCGCGCCCCCCACGTCCCCTGCACATGTGCACACAATTACCACCACCCCGACTCCCGCCACCCCTTTACCTGCACTGTACCTCACAGCTGATTTTTCAAGCAATTCAAGCAATTTTTGGCACAGGAGCCCAAAAAGGTTAGCCACCACTGTCCTATACCATTTCAGACAAGCGATTGTCTACGTGGAATTTCCGCGAATGGGATTTTCCCATGAATTATCCAGCAAATGTACATAAGACAGGGTGGAAAACAATGGTGGGATTCAAATATTCTGCATGCAGACAGGAGGTTATACAACTTGCTTTGTGGTGTAACTGTGAACAATCTGGAACTGAACACACTCAAAACCGTAGAAATGGTGGTAGACTTTAGAAGAAACCCTCCCATACTCCCACCTCTTACAATACTACACAATACAGTATCAACAGTAGAGAGCTTCAAATTTCTAGGTTCTACTATATCACGTGACCTAAAATGGACACCTAATATCAAAAACATCATCAAAAAAGCACAACAAAGAATGTTCTTTCTACGCCAACTTAGAAAGCTCAAACTGCCCAAGGAGCTGCTGATCCAGTTCTACAGAGGAATGATGGAGTCTGTCATCTGCACCTCTATAACTGTCTGGTTTGGTTCTGCAACCCAACAGGACAGACACAGACTTCAGAGGATAATTAGGACTGCAGAAAAAGCAATTACTACCAGCCTGCCTTCTATGGAGGACCTGTATCCTGCACGAGTCAAAAAGAAGGCTGTGAAAATATCTACAGACCCCTCACATCCTGGACATAAACTGTTTCAACTCCTTCCCTCAAAACGACGCTATAGAGCCCTGCACACCAGAACAACTAGACACAAGGACGGTTTTTCCCCGAACGCCATCCCTCTGCTAAACAAATAATTCCCTCAACGCTGTCCAACTATTTACAAAGTCTGCACTACCATTACTATTAGTCTTCTCATCACTCCTTATCGCCCATCCCCTCCCACTTGGGACTGTATGACTATAACTTTGTCACTTGTATCCTTACGATCTATATTGACTGTTTCCTAGTATGATTTGATTGGTTATTGTACCCTATGACTAACATTAAGTGCTGTACCTTATGATTCTTGACTCTTGATGAATGTCTCTTTTCTTTTATGCACACTGAGAACATTTGCACCAAGACAAATTCCTTGTGTGTCCAATCACATTTGGCCAATAAAGAATTCTTATTCCATTCCATTCCATTCCATTCCATTCCATTCCATTCCATTCCATTCCATTCCATTCTATTCTATTCTATTCTATTCTATTCTATTCTCCTATTATAGTCTATTATATTCACAACTATTCTATTCTATTCTGTATCTAACAAACATATTATGTTTTGTAACTTGTTATGTTTTAAAAGTAAAATGTCAAGTTCTTGGCTGGAATAGGTGTTATGCTAGGTTAGGCTGACCCAACGGAAACCTGTTGATGATCCATTGTGCTTAGATGGACATAACAGGAAGAAGCCATGAGAACGAGGGTAGTTTCCAAAGGCAAAGAAACAGGTGTTACGCTATGGGTATGGCGTAGGAAGATACATAGCTTGGATAGATTGTGAACCCAGGAAAGAGGCAGAGACTGTATATTTGAACCTGTATATAAACCCCAGCCTTCCTGGGAACCATGTCTTCTGCCCATGAGCAGAATTCCCTTTTGCAAAAGCTTAATAATAAACTCTTCCATATTGTTCACTGTCTCTGGCTATATTTTGTGATTATTATCACACCCATGAATTTTGCTATGAAATGTACATAAGGCAGCCTCAAAAAGTATGTATCATCCTAACCATAATGAAGGGTTCCGAATCCATTGGCGATATCCATTTTGCTCTCCAAATTCACGGAGACCTAACCCTAGGTGGGGTTTTACACGAATGGGATTTTCGCATGTATTTTCACAGCAAATGTCGATAAGGCAAGCTTGAAAAGAATTCATCCTCCTAACCATACCTGTGGCCTGTGAATCCATTGACTTTGGGAAGGAGATTTTTTGTTCTTCTCCTGTTCCTTTCATGCTTTTAAAACATATTATTATTATTATTATTATTATTATTATTATTATTATTATTATTATTGTTGTTGTTGTTGTTGTTGTTGTTTTTGTTTTTGTTGTTTTTGTTGTTTTTGTTGTTGTTAGTTTGAGGAAGTTGACCTTTATATAAGAGGCAGGCAGAATGTACATCTCAGGATGATTTGCAGCTGTCATTCAAAATTTCTGACTCAGGAGAACAACAATGAAAAGATTTGATGATACCAGCAACAATTCCAGAGCTATTCAATCCGAACAACTAGGTTCCTGAGAAACAGGAGGGGGCTGGAAATTAAGAGGAACCAAGCTCTGTGCGAAATTGCTGCTGAGTTTGGTCTCAATGCCGATAGCCAATTTCATGCTCAAACCCCGTGTTCTGAATTTATTATACAGGTAGTCCTCCACTTATAACTGTTCATTTAGTGACCACATTTACATTGAATAAAAGACTTACATTGGAAAAGAATTATAAATTGACGATGTCGGCAGCCTATAGAGAAAATTTATACAAAATGTTCTACAGATGGCATCTACCCACTGCTAGATTAGCAAAAATGTTCCCAAACAGATCGCCCGATTGTTGGAAATGCAAACAAAAGCAAGGAACATATTACCATGTGTGGTGGACATGCCCTGTAGCAAGGAAATACTGGATAAGGACAAAAAAAATGGACAGAAGAGATAATTAAACAACAAATTGAATTAAGACCAGAGACCTTACTATTAGGTATATTAACAGGAATATATAAGAAAACAGAATATACATCTATTAACAGCGGCAAGAATAACTTACGCACAAAATTGGAAAAAAGATAGTATGCTACTAGAGGAAAATGTGATAAAAACAATATAGAGTGTGCTGAGATGGATAAGTTGACCATGGAGATAAAAGTCAGAGAGAAAACGGATTATTATTTGACATGGAATGCATTGTATGATTGGCTAAATATGTTGTGGTTCGCCGGCGGCCTGTGCAGACGGCAGCAGAATCGGACAATGGGGAAGAAAGGGGATCAGTCGGGAGTCTGGAGAGGATGCGGATGAGGGTCCTGCATCTGATGCGGAGACGGGCCAGGGCCATCTGGGAGTGGGGTGCTGCCTCCGGAGCCTCCAGAGTCTGGCAACAGTGAGGCAGAGGACCCAGGGGACCCTGTTCTCAGTGAACATGTGTGAAGAGCTGCTAGAAGGCGAGAACAGTTAAGACAAAACGGGCAACTTGGGAGTAAGGCTGGGAGGTGATTGCCCCTCCCATAAGGTATAAAGATCAGGCAAAGGTAGAAAAACCTTTGCAGGAAGCAAAGTCGTTCATTCGGTTCAGATTCATTCTTGAAGCTCTTTGTACTTCAGTTGGTTTTTGTTTCTAGTTCATTGGACACCTGTTATTGGCAGCACTTCACAGGAAAGAAAGGTGGGTGCTTATCTTGAGGAACTGTTTGAGATTCGTTACCGGCTGGGAATGAAAACAATTCCCAGTGTTGCAATAAAACAAGGCTTGTTTTGAAAATAAGCATGTGCGTAATTAGGGTCTGGGAAGCCTTGATCAGAACAAAACAATAGATACAAAGATGAATAGAGAATAGGATAATAAGGCAAAGGTTATAGTGGACAGAGATAGATTAAGGAATATAGACAAATGTACAGATAGTTAAGATTTATATAAAATATGTATACAGTCACGGAAGCATTGCAAATGATTGGAAATGATATTGTATATAAGAAAAATTGTTTAATAAAAATTATTTTTTTAAAAAAAGGAGAAAAAGACTTACGACCATTTTTCACACTTATGACCATTGCAGCATCCCCCACGGTCACATGATCAAGATTCAGATGCTTGGAAAATAACTCACATTTATGATGGCTGCAGCATCCAGGGGTCACGTGATCCCATTTTGTGACCTTCTGACAAGCAAAGTCATGATTCACTTACTGACCGTGTGACTAATTTAACAACTGCAGGGATTCATTTAACAACGGTGGCAAGAAAAGTCATACAATGGGGCACAATTCGTTTCGTGAATGTCTCGCTTCGCAATACAAATTTGGGACTGAATTTCTAGTCGGACGGTCAAGGACTACCTGTATTAAAATGAACAGAAGTTAAGCCACTTTAACCTTTAACCTTTAACCTTTCACACGCGCTTTGAATTCACGGCAGGTCGTCCTTGACTTAGGAACACAATTCAGCCACACATTTCTGTTGCTAGTGCAATCGTCATAAATCTGAGTTAGTTGCCAAGCTTCCAAATCTTGATCACATGCCCACGGGGACGCTGCAGTGGTTGTAAGTGTGAAAAATGGTCATGTCACTTTTTTCAGTGTCATCGTAACTTCGAACAGTCATCAAATGAACTGCTGTAAGTCGAGGAATAGAATGGAATGGAATAGAATAGGAGAGGAGTAGAGAAGACTATAATAGAAGAGAAGAAAAGAGAAGAGAAGAAAAGAGAAGAGAGGAAGAAAATAGAATAAAATAGAAGAGGAAGAGAAGAGAAGAGAATGGGAGAGAAGAGAAGAGAAGAGAAGAGAGAAAGAGAAGAGAGAAAGAGAAGAGAGGAAGAGAAAGGAAGAGAAGAGAGGAGAGGAGAGAGGAATAGAATAGAATAAGAGAAGAG